AGTGTTCTGTTTGTAGTACTTGTTTGAAGGTTAATGGTGGTCAATAACTATCTTTGCAGTAACTTGGAATCCATTATCAAATTTGAATAGATTGAACTAGTCTTGGTCATGGATGGAAGTTTTTTCAAGCTGTCAATTCTTTGCATATTTGAAAACATCTTCCTTGAAAAAGTTTGATTCTTATCATTGCTAAACTTGTTCACCTCTCTTCTATTTTATCCATGTTATCTTAATGGATTTTTACCATTTGTGATTGAAAAAACACTAAACAGTTTAATGGGGGTAAATTGGTCATTTTAACCAGTTCTGTCATGTCTTGTCTTGTCTTACCAAACGCTGAACAGCTGTCCTGTCCTGTCCTGTTCTGTCCTGTCCTGTCTGCGCACCAAACGCACCCTTAGAGAACTGGTCATTTCTGACGCCATTTTCGGCGGACGGTTTCCGCCTATTCCGGGGGATTTCCATGTGACTTCAAAAATGTCAACTTTTATTGACTTCTACCGGAAATATTAGACTGATTATATTTCCGTCGGATTTCCGCCGGAGTTCTTAACTAATTAATTTAGACTTGCATTTTAATTTAATCAAAATAATTTACCGGCAGATTTCCGGAGGAAAATTAATTAATCTTTTAAAATTACTATCCGCCGGAAATCCACAGGAAATTTATTTGAAATTAAAAACTGGTTTTAACATTTTCCGACGGAAAAATAATAAAACTTTTTAAAAAATAAATCCACCCGAATATTTTTGAAATTAACATTTCTAAAAAATAAAAATTAAATCTTTTAACATTTTCCGGCGGAAAAATAATAAATCTTTTTAAAAAATAAATCTGTCGGAAATATTTTTGAAATTAATATTTTTTTAAATTAAAAATTAAATCTTTTAACACATTTTCCAGCGGATTTCTGCGCGGAAAATTAATTAATTTTTTTTTAAAAATAAATCCGCCGGAAATTTAATTGAGAAAAATCATTTTTAAAAGTTTCCAGCAGATTTCCGGCGCACTTCCCATTTTCAAACTTTTCTTTAAATAATAGATCGTATTGGACTTTAACGGATGTTAATTGAGTTTTAACGGTTTTATTGGGTTTTAATGAGTGTTAGTTGGGTTTTACTGGATCGTATTGGGTTTTAATGGATCGTATTGGGCTTTAATGGATCGTATTGGGCTTTAATGAACCGTATTGGGCTTTAATGGATCAACGATTGAGCTTTAATGAACCGTATTGGATTTTAATGGATCGTATTAGGCTTTAATAGAAACTACACGGAAGGTGGTTCATCGTCTTCAGATAAGCACATATGTGACTCTTTTCTTTTTATAATGTTTATCGACTTAGTTTATAATTTATATTAAATATTATAACGTTTTATTTATCTTATAGAAAATTGAAGTTTTAACTTCCCAAGTTCTGGATTTACAAGAAGAAAATCAGCGCCGATGGATGGTGGGGGAGCAATTTCAGTCACAAATTAATGATATGGCTGCTATGTTTAACGAACTCCGTCAATCACAACAATTCTCACTGCCACCTAATTGAATATCGTTTGTTTATTTGGAACAATTTATTTTGTTTGTAACAATTGTCTAATACTTTAAATTGAATATTCTTTGTTTGTAACAATTATTTAGTTTAATGTATGATATCTAGTTTCATTTTATTTTTCCAGTTTTATCCATATTTTTACAGATTTACAAGTTTTAAATATTTATTGAAACAATAATTTGAAAATAAATTTTTTATTATAATTTTTTTATTCCGACGGATATATCCCCCGGTAATATTGAAAAATTATAATAATATTTAAAAAATAAATAGATCATTAAAAAGGTGTTGTGGCGGATTTCCAGCGGAAATATCCGCCGGTAATATTTTTTTTAATATTTAATTTTATTAAATAATTTTTCCGGTGAGAAAATAATTGCGGCTGATTTCGGTAAATTAAATTTTTATTAAAAAAATTTCTTAAATTTTTAATTAAGTAAATCAATATTTCTTTAATTCAGCTGACGAAAGGTTCCTGACGGCAGAAATCCGCCGGTAAAATAAAGCATCCACCGGTAAACTCAACGAAAAACGAATCACCGGCGCCCTTTTTCTGTTTGATAGTGTGGGAGGAACAAATTTGCTCAATATAGAGGAGACGTTTATTTTTTCCTTTCAATTTTGATTTTCGATTTGTTTGATCTAGAGACGTTGTTCGTCCTTTTCATCTTCAATTTTGATTTCTTCAATTGGGATGTTGGATGTTTTTCTCTAACTAAACTTCAACAATGTAATGTAATGCCATGCATATATTCATTTCCACTCCTTATCGTATCCGTTCCTATTTTTATTTTCGTTCCTTAAAAACGAACCGAACAACCCTAACTCTTAATTTAGGATTTGGTCCTTTTTTTAATTTTTCTTACTAAAATTATATGATATGTTTATTATAGATTTGGTCATGGTAAAATTTTAACATAGTTAAATCAAGGTTATTTTAGTCTTTTTACCTTTTTTTTCTTTTTTTGTCTTTTTCTTATAAATAAAGTAGCAACATTATTTTACACACACACTTTCTCTCTCTCACACACACACATATACAAGGGACGTTTTATTTACAAACCATGCATTTGTAACAAACTTTACAAACCAATATTAGTTGTTCAGCTAATATGATAAACATCTAATTTTACTTTGTTTACTAATCTAAAGCAATGATCATAACAAATGTGCTTTACCATCTTCCATATATATACTTCAATTATAATTAATGAATCATGATAATTGTCTATCAATATCTCAATTGTTTCCTAATATAATTGTTTGTATGGTTTATAAGATTTACATAGTTTTCATTTGAAATCACTTATATATAGGGGTAGGTTCAAATGAGAACACTATTTATTTAAAGAATAAGACAAAATTTGTTAATGTACAAAATCATATACGATTCACGTAGAAAATCATACATGATTCGGTGCGACTTTGCCCCCGACTTAAGTTGTGGCAAAAGTCGTCCGCTTTCATTTTTTTTGACATTAATGTAAAATCACATATGATTTTGTACATTAACAACATTTTTATTGTTTTCTTAAATAGTTAACTTCTTATTTGAACATTACTCTCTCTCTCTCTCTCTCTCTCTCTCTCTCTCTATATATATATATATATATATATATATATATGAAAGGTTCAAACGAGAACACTTTCATTTTACAAGAACGCCAGAACACTATTTTACTATAGACAATCACATGTGATACTATTATTCTATCACATATTATACGCATGTGAATTGTGATATTAAATCAGATATGCAGACGATTTTCGATGCGATCTTGGTTACGGGCCAAGTCGCCATTACACCACTAAGCCACTCACAAGTATTATCACATGTG